CCTATTTATTATCTTTCTAAAATATGAGCCAACTGTTTTAAAAGAATTAAGTTGTTTAATTATATTATATATATATATATATATATATATACGTTGACTATGTATAATAATTAAAAGTCCATACTTGGTGTGGCAATAAAGTTCAGTAAATGTTATGAGAAAATAAATATCACTTATTTAATGTACAAATGACTTTTATTGTTCTTTAGAGATAATTATTTCCTCTTAGAGATAACTTATGACAATGTTCACATAGCTTGCGGAAATAACTATGTGAAAAATCATGTTTGGATATCGCCTTAAGTCATATTGTCATACAATTCTGATTCAAAATGGCAATTCTTGAGTCAGCGTTGCATGACGGTTTTGAATCACTCTCCCTACTTTTCTGATCTTACTGCCATATACTTCTTTTTATTCCCTGAACTAAACAAAACGATGAAAAGGACTCAATTTACAAACATTTCAGACATTGAACCGTATGGTAACAAGACTCATGGCCAGAGCACAAACCTTTTATATAATCTTTTATATAAATTTGCATGACATATTTGCTGACAGTTAAGAAAAGCCAGTATTTATGATAACTGCGCTATATGAACAAATTTATTTCAACAAATGATTATAATCAATCGTTTATAAATTCTTCTGAATTTATTTTTTACAGGGAGAAGCACCCGTATTATTAACTGCCAATGGAGCGCCCATCGCCGAGAAAAAGGCCAGTCTCACGGTTGGTCCTCGTGGACCCATGTTGATACAAGACTTCGTTTACCTGGACGAAATGTCACACTTTGCTAGAGAAAGAATTCCCGAACGAGTTGTACATGCGAAGGGTGCCGGTATGTCAATACTTAATGTGGCGTATATCTTATCACTGTACTCAATATGTACTTTTAGTCATGTGATAAATTTTGTTACTTGTAAAAATATATTTATATAGAGAAATGGATTTATTTTATAATTAAAATCAAAAACAGTATGGAATATATAATTGTTTCATTGTAATTGACCAATTACAATATATAAATAATTATTACAATATAATTACAACTAAAAAATAACTACAAACATCTATATGTTTTGGCTTTACAAATTTCTTTGAAACAATTGAGCTTCAAATTTTTATAGCACTCAACGAATATTGATACTGCTTTCATCAATCTTTAACCGATCAATCTTTAACCGATATTTATAAATCACATGAGGCAAGCTGTGATAGTTTGAAGCTTGATAGCTTAATCAAATTTGTGCAGTCGAAAGGTGAACATTTTTTAAATAACTATAATTATTTTTATATTGTAATTAACTAATTGAATACAAAGAATATATATTTCATATTGCATTTTATTTTAGCTATGAAATAAATCCATTTTTTCAGATAACAAAATTTATGGCACATAATTATGTAGATATAGATATCTACTATTTCTATCATAATTAGTTATTAATATTTCATAATTTTTTTCTATTTTTAGGTGCGTTTGGCTACTTTGAAGTTACCCACGATATCACCAAGTATTCTAAAGCAAAAGTGTTTTCCAGCATCGGAAAGAGGACTCCCATTGCTATAAGGTGCTCTACCGTCGGTGGTGAAAGCGGTTCTGCCGATACTGTCAGGTAATAAATAAAGAAAATGCTGTGATAGAATATTATTTAACTTTGATACAGATGATTTAATAAATATTTGAAGGTGGTAACTGCGCCTTTCACTTGCTTTTTTGTATATTCATCAAGTTAATTAGATTTTTTACATAAACTGGAAAACACATATAAAATTACATTTTATATTATAATATAAACAACGTTATTAATCGTATAATAATGATTATATTATTAATAGTTGTTTTAATTGAATATTGAAATAAATACAAATATATTGAATATATTTACTGTAAATGTTTACAATGTAATACTTTTCTTGTATAGAATGTAGGTATATGCACGAATCGTCTTTATATTGCCCCAGTTAGTTATGTGCATATCTACAACGCAAATTGCATTCAAATCCTTTTTGTGGTAAAGTAACTTTCCATCGTCGAATGTGTTGCAATCGGGAACATGATTCACAAGGATTGCATGCCGCTTTTCTGAATTGCGTTTTGCTTAGCTAATATAACTAATTCGAGTGGTAAAATACACGCAATAAAAATGAAATAAAAATTCTTGCTTGTTTACCTAATTACTATTGGTATATTTTTATTAATTACTATGTTTATTATATTTGTTATATTTAGAGATCCACGTGGATTTGCCGTAAAATTCTACACTGAGGAAGGTATTTGGGATCTTGTGGGCAACAATACACCAATCTTCTTTATTAAGGATCCCCTCTTCTTCCCGAGTTTCATACATACGCAGAAGAGAAATCCAGCAACTCACTTGAAGGTTCGATTGAATTTGCAATTATTTACAAAACGCAGTTTAACAGTGTAGTAGTTTCTAATAGTTAAATGCATTCGTGTGAAATATTTCTTACATTATAAAAGATAATTAATTATCTTTCTAATTAAATTGCATATTATATTGCAGAGCCTATATTATTAATAAAATCTTTTTTTCAGGATGCTGACATGTTCTGGGACTTTATCTCTCTCAGACCTGAGACGACGCATCAAGTTATGTTCCTCTTTGGCGATCGTGGCATTCCCGATGGATATCGTCATATGAATGGCTATGGTTCACATACGTTCAAGCTGGTGAACAGCAAGAATGAAATGGTCTATTGCAAATTCCACTATAAGGTCTGTCTATTTTGAAACTGGAAAAGTAACATTTAATTTATTCATGTTATAGTTGTCCAATTATAAATATTTGATAATGATTTCAGACTAATCAAGGAATCAAGAATATCTTTGCACAAAAAGCCACCGAGCTCAGCGCTTCCGATCCCGATTACTCGATCAGAGATCTTTACAATGCAATCTCTAAGGGCCAGTATCCGACCTACACATTATATATTCAAGTGATGACCGCTGAACAAGCAAAGACCTTAAAGTGGAATCCGTTTGATTTGACAAAAGTAATTATTATATAATATGTTTAATTTACTTATTCTAACGTAGCAGATCTTTTGGAAACTACGAATTTTTTTTATAGATATGGCCGCACAAGGATTATCCATTGATACAGGTAGGCAAATTGGTGCTGGATCGCAATCCCGAAAACTATTTCGCCGACGTGGAACAATTGGCCTTTGATCCAGCGCATATGGTACCCGGTATCGAGCCGAGTCCTGATAAGATGCTGCAAGGCCGACTCTTCGCCTATGGCGACACTCATAGGCATCGCTTGGGTCCGAATCATCTCCAGCTGCCAGTGAACTGTCCTTACAAGGTAACATTTTGTAATATCTTCAAATAAATTGTATAATTATAACTGTAGTTTGTAGTTTTTTTATTTTATACTCTAATCAGATGTGATAGAATCTTTATTTCTTTAAAAAAAACATAAATAAATAATATAGTTTTAAATAATTTTTACTCACAAGCAGTAAAAAATTGAACAATTTATAACTTTTAATTTATATTTCATAAATTTCACATGAAAACACATTGACGTTAATATAAAGAGATTAAAATATCATCTTGCCTACATACAATAATTATATATTTAATTATATATTTTAGAATCATTTTACAGTAAAAATCAGATATTATTTAAACATTTAATAACAGCATGATTTAAGTTATTAACATAAGTTATATTCGATTTTGAAACGGTTATTTGTATATATTAATATTTAATTATATTATTAAATTAAATTTTACATATATACATAATTGAGTGCGCGTGCGTGTATGTGTATAATATACTAATATATCATACTGTTTATATATTGTACGCAAACTATTTTTTAAAATATAGTTTATAATATTAGGTACAATATTTATTAATACGAGTATATTATGTAAGGTTTTTGATTGATGCAATATATTGATTTTGTAGGCGATTTCCACGATGCACTATCAACGGGATGGTAACATGCCGATACACAATCATGGCGGCGCACCGAATTATTATCCTAATAGTTTCAGTGGACCAAAGGAATGTCCAGCCGCTCGCTCGCCGCCGTTCTATGTGAGCGGAGATGTAGACCGTTACGATCCTGTGGATGAGGATGACTTTGGTCAGGCTACTGTTTTCTGGAAGAAGGTTCTCGACGAACCAGCCAAAGAGAGACTAGTGCAGAATATGGTCGGAAGTTTGCGTAATGCCTCGACATTCATCGTTGAACGAGCTGTGCGAAACTTTGCTCGAGTGGATGTCGATCTCTCTCAGAGATTAACAGATGGCTTGCGCAAATGTGGAATACATATTAATGCCTTGGGAAAATCAGCCAATCTGTAAAGAGGATGTAATCATCTCTTCCTTTTTTTACTATAACGTACTCGATTATCGAATACATATTATGTACTAAACAAATACGTACTAAAATACATAATTACGATACATAATACTTTTTATTGATCTAACATGTTTGTTAAATTATCACCAAAAATATTTCTTTCTGCAATGTCGTATATTGCTTTTACTCGATGATGTTTTATTGTAGAATTATCGTTTTATAATACTAATACTATTGTACAAGGGTGTAGGTATAAAGTTATTAATGGTGCCTTTTTATATACATAAACCATTATGTTGTACTTGAAAAAGACAAAAATCGAACATTGTTCTACTATTTGTTAAGATACTGCGTTTTGTTACAGTGATTTTTGAATATTATACATAAATACTATATTAGATTTTAAAAAAGGACCGTGTGTTGGGATTTATATATGTAAATAAAATTGGAAATTATTACAAACGAATATATTATACTCCTATGTTTCTATACTGTTCCCACAATGTTTACCTTTGTATAAAAAGATTAAAACATATCTGATTTTACCTTGACGAATTCAAGGTAGACGGCAGTGAGTCACGCCGCCAATTAGGGTAACTTGTGCGACAAAGCCATTTCAACTCCATTTAAACTGCATGCAAAACGTATCCGCTTTATCCGTTGTTCCGGAGTCGAGCCGAGCGTTTCGTGAAGTTCACAAAAGGTATGTCGTTACATAGAGTTTCATCTTTTTGAAATAGAAAAAGAAATAAACCTTATATTTAATATTGACATTTTTTCATATTGCATAAAGTGTATATATTCAAGAATATAATTATATATAATAGAGTATATTATATATAATTATATATAATAATATAATATAGAATATAATTATATATATAATAAAATCTATACATGACTTAAACAAAAATTTTTGAATCTTTCGATGATATTGTATTTTTTTAACGGAATAAGATATCTATTTCATTACAATTTGATAAAGTACTTTATTAAATTATAATATTATTTAATCAAATATAATTCTCGATAGTTGCATTAAACATAAAATAACTTAAGGGAGACTGAGATTAGTATATAGTTTAACTAGGATTAAATTAATCGAATCTATTAAAAGTAAAACAATGAAGAGACACGTAAGCTATATGAGCATGCAACAGACTACTGCCACTCAGATAGCTAATTAGTTTGGAATTTGATCTAAGTTATTCTAAAAAAAACGAAATATATGTTAGAAGATCTGTTGTGTGACTTTAAACTTATTTAAATTGTAGTTATATTTTTTTACCTCTCTTTATCTTAAAAAGAGATTCAGAATATTTTTCTCAAATCGTAAAAAATGCAAAAAGTACAAATCATTTTGATATGATTCTTTTCTCTTTGTTTTCATTGCACTTTATACACTTCGACTTTGTTTTCGTTTTTTCTTCAACATACAATTTTATTTTAAGATTGAAAACGATGCAATGAAATGCATTTAAAACGAACATATTCACAATTTTTTGTAACTCTTGCATTTTTTCAACTTTTTTCAATATATTTTTTCCTTTATGGAAAAAGATATAATATGGCTCAAAAGAATAGGTTTCAAAGTGTACGTTTAAATGCGCTCTGTGCAAAATGGTGCGACACTTCCGGTAAAATCTGACAAGTCCGAGATGTTGTAGGTGCGCGGTCTCACAGCTGTTTCCAAATTCGTTCGCGGATCATCGCGGGATGCTGGCCAGCGGGCACGCGCGTTCGCAGACTAATCCAATGTACTGGCGGGTCTGAGGATTGTACAGGAAAAAGGACGGGGGCCTCTCCTGTAGTGTCTGTCGACCGCGTCGCGCGCGATTAACCTACGCGAAATTCCTCCTGTAAGGACAAATCGCGAGGAAATGCAGCTCATGAATTTCCTCGTATCACGGACATTCTTTTTATAGTTACAGGCTGACCTACTTCTCATCTTGAAACGCGCTTAAAGTTGGATCAGCGGCCAGACCCGTGTGCGGATCATGCTACGGCCAGTCTTTTAAATTATTTACATATTTATATCGACACAGCATTATGCCAGATAGGTATGTCGGTTGCGAGCTTTGTTTACATCGTAACATGATGCTTGTTATTGCTCCCCTTTGTCCTTCCAACAAAAGAGGAATCTTAGAAATTTCAAGCTTTTGTATTAAGAGATTTTGCTCTAATGTGATATTTCCTTTTTATGATTCCTTTTTATATTATTATAATTGATGTTTCGATTTATGAGAAATAATTAGGAAGAATATATATGATTTGGTAATGTTTTGCCAGGAATAAAGTTTTGGTTGGTGCTGGAGTAATATGGGGTGTGACTCTTTGCTGTTTTTTATTCAGTCGCAAGTTGAGACCCACAGCACTGTTAAATTTTATCCCTGCTATGTTATGTCGGTCAGTTTATTTTTGTCTAATAATGAATCAGTGTTTATAGAAGTTTGCTGTTAAAAAAATTGTGTAATCTAATATTGCCCTCTGTGGCATTTAGCTAAATATAACAGTCTATAAACTATGGGCATTTTCTAATAACAGAATATAAAGTTTGTTTTTTATTATTGCAGTGGATTGGACTAAAACTTTCTGACTTTTGCTAACTTCAAATATAGATCTATTTCATTTTAAGTACAAGCGTATAAATACTAGTTCAACTAAAAAAACAGATATACAATTGAGACATAGTGAATCATCTCGGCCTTGTGAATATTAAACAAGGTTGAAATAATTCGTCTGGATCTGTGTCTCTTGCTGGAAAACATCTTATGTAATATCTTTGTTAATTATTATATATGCCAAACTTGAATTAATTTATCTTATTAGTCTTTGTTTTTTGTCTTATAAAAAATATACTTACAAAATGTCGTTGTTACTATTGATTTTGTTGTTACTAATCACAAATAATTTTTATATAAGTAACATCGTTATCATAGGCATTTAACTAAACGTATCAGTCAATTTAAGCATTTAACTAAATGTAACGGTTAACAAGCTATATTATATTATCATGAGATAATTTTTTTCAATAATATTCCTCTTTTTTGATCATTGTTATTGTAAATTTGAATTGAATTGTCTTTTTACTCTTGTTTTCATTGTATAAATAATATTTATATAAAACTTATCACTTGTTATTATGATCTTACAGAAATACAAAAATGGAGAATGAAGATGAACAGAAACATAATACAAATGATGCTGGTACATCAACGAACTGTGATACTAATGTACATACAAATGCGCAAAATGAAGTCCATAGGTATGTAATCAGAATCCACAGCAAATATGTAACAAAAACACTTTGTCATTATGAATCATTATGATTAATTAATATGAAGATTTTATATGAAGATTATGATATATTATAGTTTATCTTTTGTATATACATCTCTTGTATCAACGCAGACAACCAACGCCAAATTTTATGATGGGTGGATTAACCGGAGCATCACCACCAAAATTCGTGTCTTTTGATGAAATTGTTAAAGCTGCCAATGGTATGAAAAATATGGCCTTAGCGCACGAAATCGCGGTAGATGTAAACTTTCAGCTGCAAAAATTGGAGCCTGAAGATGGTAGTTTTCATAGGCGAGTAAAAGAAATAATGCACAAAGCTTTTTGGAATCTATTAGCGGAGCAGTTGGCCGAAGATCCGCCAGATTATTCGCACGCACTGGTTTTAATGAAAGAAATTAAAGAAGTAATAATTCTCTTTTTGTTCTACGATGACAGAAGGAAGCATTAAACGATATATAATATATTCTCTATTTATTTTAGTCACTGGATGAACTGGTACCACTACACAATGCAAAGATTAAGGAAAATATTAGAGAAGTGCTTGATTTGGACTTGATCAAGCAACAAGCGGAGAAAGGAGTATTAGATTTTAATCATTATGGGCAATACATAATCTCCATTATGAGTAAAATATGTGCGCCAGTGAGAGATGAGAAAATCAGAGAGCTATCACAGCAGGTGGACATTGTTGAGACATTCAAGGGTGTCATGGAATTGCTGCAGTTAATGAGATTGGATTTGGCAAATTTTACCATTACGATGATGAGACCGAATATTATTGCTTCGAGTATAGAGTACGAAAAAGCCAAGTTTGCCGATTTTTTAAAGATTAATTCAAATGGCTTGCAATATACAGAAAAATGGTTACTAAGACATTTCGATGCAGAAAAAGGCACAGGTTCATCGAGTACTGGTACTAATAATGTAAGACAAATTACTCATTCTTTATTAACGGAGGCGTATCTCGACCTCCTGGAATGGGATTTCAACCCGGACGCCGAGGTATGGAAAATATTGGAATATAGGATTTTATATTACATATTCGATAAATTTATTATAAACAGGATGATTTTTATTTAGACATTGATGTTGGATCAAGGAAGACTTTTGGAATTGCGTGACATAACTAGTAGATTGAGCATCGTCGGTTCTGTGATATTATTGGTTAATAATACAATTGGTGCTCCAATTCATGGGGTTTCGAGCTTTAAAAAGAATATCAAAGAACACTTGAATGCACTGTTGGATTCTATACATTCAAACAAGTACGTTAAATCGTAACTGAAAATAAGTTGCAATAAAATATATTTTTTAAACAATTATAAGTCAAATTTAGACAGATAAGAATAAATCTAGAAAGAATCCTGTTTTCGGACAAAACAAATCTTTGGCTCATGATTAATTTATATTATATTCACAATTAATACAGTTATTTCTGCTATAGAGATCTAGAAGCTGCAATACCAAATATTATACTACAAGTAAAAACAGATGTAAAAACAACATTACAAGAAATCAATGCTGCCGAGTTGTCACCAGAATTAGAAACGCTATTAGAAGGTCAAATAGCCGATCTTATAGATCCAAAACATAAGATCAGATATCTCGTCAGTAAGTATAAAAATAAAATTGATGGTTAACATTGTCAACTATAAATATATCATTTTAGGTCTACGAATTAGACAGTTCCTACAGAAAATTATTCAATCGCAATCCACTGCGCCCCAACAAGTACCACCAGGCCTCTCTTCATTGCAAGAAGAATTAACGGCCATTGCTGCCCGATTTGTAATACTTGTTTCGCATAATCGCAGCGTATTTTGGGAGTATTATCAAGATATTGTTGCAAACGTGCTTGCGAAAAGCGACGTTGACAATAATAAAGAGATACATGGAACACATACTATGGAATTGTAAAAAGGATAAATAATGTTAATATAAATAATGTTAATACACTCGGATCTCGTTATGCTCGTTTCCGAAACGCATATTATACCAAGATCATTTTGTATGTAGCATTAATGCTCAATTTCTTCACTTCCAGATAAATTGTGGATAACCTTATTCAAGAGATATCTCCATTGTAATCCGGGAGATATCTCTTGGATAAAGTTATCTAGAGATGAAGAAATTGGGCAGTAATCCGCGAGATATCTCTTGGATAAAGTCATCTAGAGGTGAAGAAATTAGGCATAAGCAATTAAATTTCTCGATAGATCAAATTGTATTTACTTTTGCGTTCACTATGCATCTCTTTTAGCAACAGAACTTTTTCCCGAGCGCTATATTGAGACACGCTATATCAAGAGGCGAGTATATGTATATAATTTTTCATAATTATGTCTGTTCTATAATGAACAATATTCACAAACTGCATATTACATGATTAACAAGATAGAAAAAATATCTGTATTTTTTACTGTCATGACAATCATGATCATTTAATGCTGAACAGTAACAGAGTTACGATTTCTTTTCTTTATGATTTATTTACAGGATATATTAATATGTATTATATATTAACTAATTAAATTAATAGCAAACGTTGTCTTTCGTTTCTTTGTTTTTTAACAATGATTTTTTAAAATCATAAATTAGTGTATTTGATTACAAAATAAGTTATCGTGTATAGTATAAACGTATGTGAAGTATGCATATAAGTATATTCATGATTACAATACTGATGTTTTTAATTACTAAGGTCAATTTTACACTATTATTACAAAAGTAAAAAAAAAAATGATTTAGTTCTATTATATTTTTCACATTTTTTTTTGATTTCACTAAAATGATGCCTGCATCATTTTATATTTAGCACGAATAGTCTAATCAATTTTATAAACATGAAAAAATATTTATTGCTATATATTAAAGCATTAAAAAAAGTATTTAAAAATTTATTGCTATTTAAGTACTAAAAAATTAATATATAAATTTAAAGTAAAACTGTACATATATGCATTTAATATTCATTATCCTTCTAAGTTAGGCATTAAGAGAAGGCAACTTAAAATTTTTTATATAATTCTCGAAAGTTGCAATATGTTGTTTCTTTAAAAAACTTTGAAATCCTAAAAGTAGAAATTTTTTTTTTAATTTTTACTCTTAATCCTATAAATTGTTTTTCTTATCATCTTATATCTCCAATTTATTAGCATGCAAAAAACTTACCTATAAACAAATGCCGTAGTAGCCCAGTCGGTGGAAATAAATTTGATAATGTTTTCAATAACTCATCAAAATCACCACTTTGCGTATAGCTTTGTATCATACTTGCAAATATTTTATAATCACTCGCAGATAATGCCTGTTTCACCTACGAGTATATTATTTCTGTTTAAAATGCATAATTTTTTAATTATATAAATAATAAAATTATATTTACTTACATCCTTTAAGTATTGTTTTCCCAGTGCCTTTTTATCATCTTTCATGTCCTTATCATTTTGAGTGAAATTTTGCCCAGAATTAATTTCGGAAACTTTTAACGAAGATGTCGAAGGAGCAGAAAAATATGAATCAATTCCAGGTGATATAATATTAATTTTTCTTCTTTTTGCAACTGGTTCTTCGGATTGATGTTTTGCTAATTCGCATGTACTCTGATTGTCTTTTAATTTACAAACACTAAAATTAATTGCAGATTGTGACTTCAATGACTGTTTGTCCTTAGCACTTTCATCTAGATACATATTTATGTCAAAACTATTCTTAGTTGATTCTTCTGTCGCAGAATTGTTTTGTGCTTTTTGTCTGAGAGAATGAGATACCGTTGTTTCAAAGGTAGCACCCACTGCAGGTAATGATATATCAATGTTTCCATATTGTGCATGGGTGATACTAGGTTGCGGCAACTGAAATTATTGATAAGTTTAAATATATTGCTAATAATTGTAATAATTGTATTTAGTTTTACACACGCACGCATGCACACATGTTACGGGCAATTTGATTAATTTGGGATTTATACGTAATGGCCGATCAATATGGATAATGTTTGCTTTGAGAAATTTCAATAATGAAAGTAAAAATGCACAAATTAATCAAAATGACTAGTCATTATGAATTATGTACAAGTGGTTAATAGATTGAAAATATCATTATAAAAGAATAAGATAGTCTGTTTTCTACAATCTCAACTTGTTACTTATTATATATTACGCATTTAAATATTTTTTATTTATTTTATTTCTTCTACTTATTTCTGCCAATGTTTAAAGAGCTTATTAGACGACATTTTCTTTTACAATTATACCTCGATTCTTGTCCTTCAAATAAAGATTTCCTCACGTATTCTCGTAAGAAAATTTTTGTAGCTGGAACTACATTGGAATTAATGAATGATTCTTTATATATTCATTATAGAGAATTCATTTCTGGTGTAGAATTTTGATAGCACTACGTTCTCTATTCGTAGCTCGTAAAAATTATTACTTTTAGATAATATCACTGTTAACAGATTTTTTTGGGTCACTTCTACCCCTATCAACATCTGAAAATTTGGCGGAAGACTTTTTCATTTTTTCAACTTGAATTTGTAAATTAAATTTCATCTTTTTTGAGTCAAAAACTTTAGCTCTTTTTTCTTCAATTTTTCTAACTTCTTCTAAATGATCGTTAGCTTCTTTATCGTGTCTTCCATTTTTATTTTCTTCTTCATTCTGTTCATTATCATTATCTTCTTCATTACTACTATGATTTTCTTCACCTTGCGCTTTATTTTTATCTTCTTCATCTTTACTATCTCCAGATATATTTAAACGTAATATTTCTTCTAAATCTTCTTCAAATCTTATAGACTGTAGGACTTCTCTAGGCAAATTGCAACTTTTAAGTCCTATCTTCGCTGGTTGGCCGAACATAGCTTCATACGGACTACGTTTTATACCTTCGTGGTAGGCTCTATTTTTTTCATAAATTGTACAAAACGCAAGCTATCACTCCAATGTGTTGTTTTATGTGTTTAAATCAAGTGCTGAGAATGTTCTCGATATCTTGGTTGGCATATTCAACAGATCCTTGACTTTGACTATGACGCGGTTTTCCATGGACAATTTTTAATTCAGGCCACACGGAACAAACTTCTTCAATAAGTTCTTCAATAAGTAAACAAACTTCTTCAATAAATAAAACTTGGCAGCGACTAATCATCTCACTGAAAATCATTGGCTTTACAACCAAATCTTTTTTAGAAACTTTAAATTTCTTCTGACAAATTTCACATAAATTTAAGTAAAGCATAATTGTTTCTTTAGTTATGTTTTTAAATTTTCTCTTGATCTCTTTTGCCATTCTATTTCTCCTTCCATATTCAATAGAAAGATATATGTCATGAATAATACCAAAAAGATCTTCATTAGTAATGTAATATTTTATAAGTTATCAGATACTGAATATATAAGTTTCTCATTGCCTCCAGCCTTTATTAAATCAAAGCGCCTTAATTTTTGATAATTATTTGGGGTTTTCGTACTATTCTTTCTTTTAAGCTCTTTAATTTCATTTTTTAACTGCACGTACTTCTCATTAGACAGATAGCCACTATTGCAAGCTTTGTTTGAAATTAGTTAACACAGTTTACTATTAAATTTTTTTTTCATTTCTTCAGTTGTGGTCGATGTCATTTTTCATGGATACGATATTCAAATTGTATTAATAAAATCCGATTCACAATAGCAGTACATTAATATAAGTATTCAGTACAAAGTCAGAAAGGGCAGAAATGCCTTATTCTGTTTTAATAAAATACAATTCACTGTAAACATAATCAACATTGCTCGTCAATAGTCACAGCTGATTGCAGCTAGAATATTTCAAAAGGTTATGTTTTTTAAATTAAGACTGCCGGAAAAATTGAACTAAATGATATATCAAAATGACCATTTAGCATTGATCGCGTTCAGCAGACTGTTGTGGAACGAATCCGTGAGCGTTCGCTGTTATTAGTGTATTCTTTTAGATCCAATAGCACTCCGCAAAAGTTAAGTCTGCTGAACGCAACCATTAGGAAATATACATAGTGACCGAAAAATTTAAATAATTCTTTTCTATTAATTATATTGGTCAAACAAATTGGGAATTGTGCATTTTGTCCATTCATGTATAATTCCAAATTAATTGTAACATATGTATATGTATATATGTGTATATATGAACAAACTTACTGTATTCTCCGCGTTCCTAAAAAATTCTCGTAGCTCTTTCGTGATCATTCCAAAATTCGTAAACTTTTTTATGTATGGTCTAAGCCAAGCAGATAATTGTTTCTTAAAGTTTGGATTTTCAAATCTACAATCACATAGTATAATAGCACCATAATCGCTTTTGTGTCTTATTATTCTGCCGATAGCTTGATTAACAGCTCGGGATGCTTCAAGTTGATACCATTCTTGCCCGGTTAGACTCTGAATATTAAATTTGTTTTTCAGTTATGGATCTTATTTTATCGAGTTATTATTTTTAACAAAGTTAAAATATAATTTATACTTCTTTTTTTGTCGTCCTTATTTCCTCCAAATATCTTTGTTTTAACATAATTCGCGGATCTTTAAAAGGTGGAAATGGAAGACCAATGATTAACACAGCTCTACCGTTTGCATTAGCAAAATCCAGACCTTCGCTGACTTTTCCTCTACAAACTGCCATAAAAACAGCCCCCTTGCAAGACGGGTCTTTAATTTTTTGATAGTACTCATTCATCACATTAACAAATCCATCTTTAGAGTTTGGTTCTACATAAATGGGCTATTATCCAATAATTAATTCAATATAGATATAATATCATAAAATATACTATTTTACAAGTACATTAAATATTTGTTTACCTTACGTTCAGCAATCTGCGTCCATAAACCCATATTCTGCCACTCGTCCCTGCATTTTTTCATGATTGGATAAGATGGAAAGAATATTAATAATCCGTGGGGGACGATACAACTAAAGTTATATACTGTTCTTCCAAGAGACGCAATATACTTCGGATCATTTCTGTCAAAACATAATAAAGATTGAACTAAAATCGCTTTATTTCATCGTCATATTTGATAGTATTTACCTTGTATTATAAGACGAATTAAGTGGATGGTTATCTGGTCCCTGACTAAGAACACCAACACATACTTGTTCCTTCGTTACTATATGTGGATTTTCTAGTTGGACCGTGATTGGTATACCGAGTTCCGATATGAATGGTTTTAACGGAGATAATGTGCCGCTTGTGAGCACTACTGAACGTATCCCTTGTTCTACCATCTGCTCCATACTATAAATTGTGTTTATTATACGACTTAAGATAACGTATTTTTTATAATTAAGATATAATATATCTCTATATATATAAAATATATTATAATGTATTTTTTTTATCACACAAGTTAGTTTTACCCAAAACCAGGACTGAAACACCAATAACTAATAAGTTTGCCATCCGTTTTAGTTGCCTTTTTACTCTCCCAGACATCATTCCTGTAATTCTTTTTTTGCTCTTCCATTTGTATGTGAACTTTGTAGCAACGTTTTACTTTTTCTTTGTGACGTACAATAGATGCACCGCTATTGAAAGCAGTTCTCAATAAATCACTAAATTTTTGTAACGCATTCCCTTTTCTTGCAAATGGTGAAGTACTGGTAGTTGTCAGATATAAAATAAGTTTGTCTAGTTTGTCTACCACAATTTGTTCCTTACCATGTGTTAACTATTACAACAAAAAATATATTACAGCAACAGTGGTATGTATGTATATAAATTTCTAGTATAATTATTTAAAAGTAATAATATTTACTTCAATTTTTTCAAGTAATTCAAAAATATATCCGCCAGGGAAAGTGTCTCCCTCACTGCGGTTTTTTAATTCAATAGAGTCGATGGCTTTTTCTAGTTCTAAAAACATTGCTTTTAAAATACATAGATCTTCTGCTGTAAAATCTTTTTGAACATTATTCTCTGACAAAAAGTCATTCTGCTGATCTGAATCTTTAGCCATATCTTGCATTACTGCAGTTATTTCATCAATACACATTGCAATATCTGTACTGCTTATCTGTACAGACATATACAATATTTAATTAGAATACATAAAGGGTTAAACAAAATGTTTCTATACCTGTAATGATGCTGCTTCTTCACAAACTTTTTCAACATTATGAGCTTCGTCCAATAAAACTACAGTATTCTGTAAATCTATACCCTGCGACCTTCGTGTTTTAGGATCTAGTAGATAATTGTAAGGCATGAAAACGATATCTGCATTCTGCTTCAATTCCTTTGCTAAAAAGTATGGACAACATTTGTGCTTTTGTCCAACTTTAACTAAATCTTCTATGTCTAGAACTTCTTGTTTAAATACAGGGTCATCTTTTCTAAAGAAACATATTAAAATTTATATTATATATTTACTATTTGATTTCTCTGCATTGATTATAAAATTGTGTCTAAATATTACACTAACCTGGCCTCGACATTGTTGAAATAAAAACAAGTTCTTGACTTTACTTTGGCATGACACATGTGTATTTTGTTAAAAGAACTTGTTTCTTTGGAAACTTCTGGATGAATGCATAGCTGATCTCGGGATCCCAATACAGCAGTAGCTACATGTTTGTATGACGTTTTCTTCAATTCATACATTGCCTGAGATAACTGAGAATGTGTTCGAGATGCATAAATAATTTTGGGTATAGCCCAGCCAAAACTTTGAACATTATCTGGTACTCCTGCTGCTTTTTCAAGCCCATTAGTTAAATGTTTAAAGAAATTTCCACCAAAGTCTTTTTTTTCTATTGCACCTGCTATCACTTGTGCTTGTAATTGAGCTTTCTTTGTCAACAGCCAACTTAAGGAGGAACACAAAAGGCTCAAAGTCTTTCCAGTACCTGTGAAATATTTACTTACATTTATAACATTTCATTACAAACCTATTCATAAATTACTAAAATAGCTTTAGTAAATAATCCATTTAACAAAAAAAGAAAAAAAATAAAAAATAGATAAAACCTATTAATTTAAAAGTTCAATTTTTCAATTGTTTTGTGTGGAACGATTTTCCTAAATTGAAAAAATATTTGAAATTTAATAATTTTAAAATTATATTTGTTTTTTATTAAAGTATAAATCACAAATTTCTTGTAAGATGTTAATTATTATCACAAAAATAGTAATAAAAAATAAAACGTAATCTAGAAGTTTAATTTTTTAATTATTTTGTGTCAAACGATTTTTACAAGTCGGGAACAAATGTTTCAAACAAATTACATGGCTTTTTAAAAAAAAATATCTTAAATTATTGAAAATTTCTTTTAAATGTCATTTATTTCTCCGAAGTATCCTCTTTCCTGTATAAGTAATTGCGTGTACAAATATACCTGTCGGTGACTCCAAGACACCATGCTGACCATTTTGCAGGCATTCTATCACCTTTCTCATATACTCCTCTTGCACAGGATACGGTTTAAAGGGGAAAGTAACGATAATATCGTTAATTACGACATCGGGCATTTTGGGAATTCGATTGAAAAACGCATCAGCTGCAATGAAATTCCATACGTCACCTTCCCGCCAGAATAGAAATCTAACCTGATGGCGTTTTTCATTGACAGAACTGGTGCGCACTCAGTGCACTTTAAAACCGTTGTACACAAATCGACGTAAAGACGTATGTATAATAAAAATATCGAAATGAGTTAAACCACGAAATCCTGAATACATTTTATTGTGTAATTTGATAAAATATACATTGAGCATCTTATCAAGAAATTATCTCACTTTTACATTCAAATCAGATTAGGTGCACTAAGTGTGCATCAGTTTTGCCAATGTTGAAAAATGTTATAAGTTTGTTCGTTCGTATTTAATTAGCTGTTTATTCCTGCACTGAACTGACGCTGTGCAATAAGTTGAAACGAAGCAAACGTATATTTGTTTCACTTCAACTTATTGCACCGCGTGCACCAGTTCAGGAATAAGGAACAGATCTATTGTGTATTTTAAAGGGCATTCTACAATGCGTTGCAAACACCCGTTGCCAGTTGAAACGTTTTTCACGACAATCAATTAGAAGCGTTAATGGTATTATTTATGCTTCTGATTGGTTACAACGTGGCCTTAAGAATGCGTAGCAACAATGCAAAGGTTGATTTTCGCATTCGTGAGTGATAAGAAAACAGATAAAAATAGTGACACGGAGTCTTGAAAATTTCAGATTGCGCCTTTATCTATAAGAGCTACGATAAGAACTTGTGTGGCGATGAGCTGACCCGAAAAGGAACAGGCGGGCCGCCACACTCGAGCCTCGAGGAGAAACCGCCGAGACCGGGCTACGCAAGATTAAGGTTAACGTACGCCAAATCAGCTGATTCAATAATCAGTGACTGACCAGTGGTGTGGCCGACACGACGATTTATTCAGCAGGTTCGTGCTCTTCCAGACCGCTTCTCTGTGCGGCACTTTCCTCTTTGGAGGGCATTTTTTATTAGGAGTTATAGCTCCTAGTGACAGAAACGGGAAAATATAAACGAATTAGATAGCATAACGGTTGGTTCCCTGTCCTCTGCACGCGATTAATTTATGGGGGTCAACAGCCGCTGGCTACTAATTTCAAAAGAAAAGGAAAGAAGACTTCGTAGTCCTAAGTCAGGTCAAAAAGAGATAAGCAAGTTCTATGAGCGAGATAAATGTGTTTGTGTACTTATTGATACGAATTTTAGATACTCTGGTACTACCGATATATTCTTTTGTAATCTTGATTAAATGATATAAAAATATTATTTACAACTTAACTTGATAATCTATATTTGTAGAAAACTATAGGGAAGATACTTAAGTATATATTAATATATCTAAAATATTCTTAAAAATGTTTTACATGAATCTGAAGAGTACATACGAAATTATTTTGTGGTAATTATGCATATAAGATAAAAGGTTAATGTGTCACGAGTTTATCTTTGAGACATGCACAAATATCTGATAAATAAAAGTTTGTTTTTAGTCTTGTAATTGTATCATATGTTATAATGTATTATGCTTCTTGTATTTAGGTAAATTAAATAATTCGCGTTTTTAATTATGTACGAATGTTTCTCATATATGACTAATTTGTTAGACTCCCTAACTTTATTAATACAAATCGACAGATCATTCATTTATTACTTGAAAAAACCTGGAAAACGGGATATTGAGAGGATTCTTCTTTTATCTGGAATTTTTTTCATGGAATTTATCAATTTTATCTTAAAGTTGTTTCTCAAATTTTATTCTTAAATTTGCATTCTATCTCTATCTGAAATTCTTTGATAATTTCTCTTGATAATGTAAAATGTCGAAAATCTGTGGGGTGATATAAGTATATGTATGCACTTTCATGTGTATTCCCATACATTTTTTGTATATATTGTATCTTACAAATTCTTATAAAAAAATCAGAGTGACAGTAGAAGACAACACTCAGTAGAAGAGAGCTCGCAAATATTATATACAGGATGTCTTATCTTAACGCATAATCAAAATTGCACGGCACGAAAGAGGCTCTCATATGACAATAATTTTTCCAGGTGGAAGCACTTCAGAGATTTCAAAATTAATTTTGTCTGTTAAACTGAAATTATATAATTTTTTACATAATATAATTCGTTTAATTATTCTGTATTTAAAAGTATTAAGGGATCTAATAGCTTACGAAATATATTATATTTTAATGTTGGTACATATTGACATAAAATATTAAGTATCTTGTAAACTGTTAATTTTTTAATACTCGTAATACCTTTATAAATAGAAGAATTAGAAGAATTGTATATTATTAAAAAAATATTATTCCATTTAAAAAAGTAGAAGTAATATTTCTTTTTGGCGCTTTCTCTCTTTCTCTCTCCCATCTAAAAAAAACGTGATCAAAATACGATCTCGAAACCGTTCCACTTTTGTCCGAAACATTTTTTTGTAGCTATCATATATTTCGAAATGTTTACCGTGATAAATTAAAATGGGACATCCTCTGTATAAGAGCGTCTCATTTTAAATGATGCATTAAGATTTCTCGGAAACTATGGTAGATACGGAAAAATGTTTCAAACAAAAGTTGAATAGTTCGGAGGGGGATGTAAGAAGGTACCATTGATTTGTCCTTGGGTGGCATCGCCAAGGTCAAGGTCACATGTTAAGAGCTTTTTAAAACACTGTAATAAAGTCATTTTTCATTACGTTCCGAGTTACAAAGCTTGAAAATTACAGTATCGCCGGAATTAGCACTACGCAGTGTCCGACAGCTAAAATGTTGAATGTTATTCAGAATCATGTCTTAGATAACATTTGTCAAGATTAAGGCCACTGGGATTATTTCTCTTATTTTCATTTTTGCACTAAAAATTCATTTTTACGTTAAAATAAAAATAAAAAGTACAATCTCCAATGGCTTTAATCTTGACAAATGTTATCCAAGACATGATCCTGAACAGCATTCAAGAGATTTTAACCGTCGGTCGGACACCTTGGGTAATGCTAATACCGGCAGTACTGTTACTTTTCAAGCATCATAACTCAAAAAGTACTTAATGAAAAAATATTTTTTTATATAAGCGTTTTGAAAAGCTCTCGACACTACCATAGATTCTGCCATCAAAAATAGGGTATTCCATTAAAAAAAATCGATGTGACCTTGACTTGATCTTGGCGACGCCACTCAAGGTCAAATCAATGGTACCTCCTTATGTCCCCCTCCGAACCGTACAACTTTTATTTGAAACATTTTTCCGTATCTACCATAGTTTTTGAGAGATCTTAATGCATTCTTTAAAAGAATGTGACACCCTGTATATGATAAAACAGCAGTTTATTTTTTGTAGTTTTATAAAGTTCTTTTTAAAATGTCAAGACTATTTCAGAGTTTGATGTTATCTTTCTTATTATGGTCGATTTTTACAGCTTTTGTTTATTAGAGATAAAGTGATGTATATTTTGTCTGATAAGGATGCAACTTTCTTGCAAGTTCCTCTTGAGAATATTAATGTTCCTTTCCATAATAAAAGAATAACATATAAAACACGAAACTTAAAAAAAGATATATAAAATATTAAGGATAATTTTTTTATGGGTATATTATTTTTAAAAGCTATTTTAAATATACTATTTGTTTCGCGGTATATTTTATTGTAATGTCACATCTCCAGTACATGAGTCATAAATAATATTAATTTTTTTTAATGTTTTCAAAGATGTTACTTTTTATTTATTGTTAGTCTTATTTTAAAGATAATCAAGGAATTATATGTATATATAACATTTTTTATAATTTAGAGAATGAGTTAAAAACTAAAAAATTTAAATACATATTTATCGATCATAAAATATATATTATTTAAAAATTTGTTTCACGCTTTAAAATGTGTTTTGAAATGTAATAAATTCACTTTAAAACGTTTGGGTGAGTCATCTATTTTAAATGGTTTGAAAATTGGAATGTTTTAAATGTATGACCTCGGAATTTGTTTAAAAAAATTCCATATTTCGAAAAACATTATGGTTATAACAATAAAACTTAATATAAATATATATTTTAATATTACGTATAAGAACAAAAAATTCCGAAAGAGAAAAATACTCATTTATTCGCTATCTGATTTGATGTAGAATCGTCCATAATTAGATTTGGTAACATGTTAATTCAATATTAAAATGATACTAATTATATGTATATCTATTTATGTTACAGGGTGCATTGTTTAATTGTGTGCAATTAATATATTTATTATGCGTCTCGTAATTTGCGATAACGTGGACTATGTCGCAGAATGGTCTGCGAAGTATGTTTTAAAGAGAATCAATGATTTTAATCCTAATGAGAACAAGTATTTTGTTCTCGGTCTCCCTACAGGTATATAATACTAATAAAATAAAAAGATAAACCTCTATGTTTAATAATTAAATTAACGATAACTTTTTTAAATATTTGATTATTAATTATATATGATTAATATGCTATATTAATATTATCATCTTAATAATCTTTTCTTTTTGTTTCCTTTCCATCAAGGAGGGACACCTTTGGGGATGTATAAAAAGCTTATAGAATATTATCAACAAGGCAAAATTTCCTTCAAATATGTTAAGACATTCAATATGGACGAATATGTTGATTTACCGAGAGATCATCCAGAATCTTATCACTTTTATATGTACAATAATTTCTTCAAACATATAGATATCGACCCGAAAAATGTGCATATACTTGATGGAAATGCGACGGATCTCGAAAAAGAGTGTGATAATTTTGAGAAAATGATCAAAGAGGCTGGCGGGATAGAATTGTTCATCGGAGGTACAACAGTTTCATTAAATCTAAACAAGAGATTTTTAGATGTAATAAGAATTTGAAAATAATTTTTAAAATTATTTACAGGCATCGGACCAGACGGACATATAGCCTTCAATGAGCCAGGTTCGTCGTTAGCTTCTCGCACACGAGTGAAAACTCTTGCGCAAGATACTTTGGAAGCAAACGCAAGATTTTTTGGAAATGATATTAACAAAGTACCAAAACAAGCACTGACTGTAGGCGTCGGTACCGTAATGGACGCTAAGGAAGTAATGATTCTTATCACCGGATCTCACAAAGCTTTTGCCCTTTACAAAGCTATAGAAGAAGGCATTAACCATATGTGGACGGTATCTGCGTTTCAACAACATCCTCGTACGCTTATAATTTGTGATGAAGACGCAACTCTGGAGTTACGTGTGAAAACTGTTAAATACTTCAAGGTAATCTCATCTATCTTGTCATGTCATGCTATCATGACTTAGCACTCTTTTTTTTGTCATGAAGTAGAGACATTGATTACATTCAGGCATAATGTTGAAATTGCGTCTCGTATTCAATTTATATACTATTTAGGCGCTCAGTGATGTACATCGCAAATTGATTGAGGAAGATGGAAATGCAATTCCCCGCCGTACAGTGCAAAACAATTGAAACGGTAGTTACCTTCATGACTTTTATGCTCAATCAAAATTTTCTGTATTATACGAGTTATACATATCCATTTTCCTTCCTATAAAAAATATCTTTTAGTAAGCAGAATATATTAGATAGATTAGAGATAAGATATTAACTTTATGTTCATCTATTCTCTCATTTTTTATCTAAATTTGTTATGATGTTGATTATCACAATTCTATATAATTAAATTTATAATCTTTTTTTGTAGAATTTATGGGACATTCATAGCAAATTAATCGAGCAAGAAAATCGGCCAAAATAAAGATTTTGTCATCATCGGCAATTTGTAAAAGTTATATAATGAATTCATACGAGGACAAAAATTGAAAGTTTTAACATATGGACGATAAAGCTATGAAGCTAGAGTAATTAGAGATTACATAATGCAATATATTTGTATTTTATGTTCTCTATTTTAATCGGATATTTACATATACAAATTTTAATTATATATATATATATACTATCTTATACACAACTGCCATATGAATGCTAGAAAAATATATTTTTATATCATTATTCTGTTATTTCAGAAATAAAAATATTCTTTTTACAGCAGTATTACAGGAGCATTTTCAGTGATTATGATCCGAGATTATTTAATCTAATCTTCCTTTCCAATGTATAAAAAAATGACAAGGCAATAACATAGTTTTTTAACTGCAATAGGTGGCTACAAAACAAATATAATACATGAGTGTTATATTAGCAGAAGATGCTTATTGCGCAACACTGCGATTATTGTAGAAATAGTGACAAATAGAGCACGGAGATTGTACGTGAATCACATGATAGTCGTAGGTCTCTCAAAGAGAAACAGGGACAAACTGATTGTGGAATTGAGAGTGAGAGAAACGAAGCTGACAATCATTGGTAGGGGAAATCTCCATCGTTCCAAGAACGGAAAAACGGCATTTGACAAAACTGCACGTGTGAGTCAATAATGTGCACGCGGAAATTAATCTCATCCGGCATGTACAAAACACATATAGGCAACATAGTTGAGTAATAGTGACTACGTAACGATGTAGAAATATTAGTATGAGACTAGAGAGGAGGCGCATCATACCTCCACCAGCCGAGGCGAAGGCGGCGGTGGCAGTGGCAATAGTTGTAGCTATTACAAATAAAATGATTGCTCGGTGCGGGACATGCAGAGATACGTGCGCGCTTCATTCACACGTATTATCTCGACTCGTACAGTCCGCCTGACACGAAACGTGATAATTAATGTAGATACGAGTTTTTCCTGATATTATTTGCCTGTGCGATAATCATGAGCAACGATCAGCAAGAGTTGAAGACGATTGAACTGCGCGAATTGCAACCGATATTGAGTCGTACATTCGGCAATCAGTTGATAGTGGTCCATTATACAACTAAGAATTTGCTGCAACCTGGCGAGAATTATGGTAGTACCATTTTAAGTGTTCATGCCGTAATTAAGCGCAACGATGAGTCAGAAGAGGAAGATCTTTATCTCATTGCGAAGATGCCACCGCCAACAGAATTCCAACGACAAATCTTTGATCCCCCGTACACATTCAAAAAGGAAATCTTTATGTATGAAAACATCGTACCTTATTACCAAGAATTGGAAAAAGAAATGGGCTTGAAGGAGAATGAAGTATTTGATATATTGCCTAAATATTATCAGTCTCGATTGTCGCTGACTCCAAATGTCGATTTCGATGATAACGCTGTTATTCTAATGGAAAACTTAAGGACACATGGTTATTACAACGGCGACAGAGCTAAAGGTAACGCGTTAAATATCTTATTTATTTGAAATATATATATATATATACATATATACATTAGTGAAACTTTGAGCTTATTTTAATGTTTTTATGAATATTTAAAGGACGATGCTCACGGTATAGGGAGGTTTCTGCCCTAGAGATGGAACCTCTGAAACCGATAAATTCATTTAGAGTATGATGAAATCTATCGCCTAATATCAATTCCGCTTTTTTATCGGCGGGGAAAGTTGAAAAAATCATATTTAAAGTTTTACCGAAGTGACGACGCGGAGGCGAGAGAGGCAGAGAGTGAGTGAGGCTCTAAATGAATTTATCGGTTTCAGAGGTTCCATCTCTAGGGCAGAAACCCCCCTATACCGTGGGTATCCTTCTTTGAATTAAAATTTTCTATAATTTAAAAACTAGAGAAAAATGTTCAGTTTAGCATAATAAATTATTTGTGAGCTCCTCAAATTCCTAATGAAAAGTTTATAATTTAACATGTTTATTTAAATTCTTATTTATAATACGATTAACACAGTCTTTATGAAAATAATGAGTATTTTGTGAGAAAACCGACACATTTATAAAATGTGTTCTAGAAATCATTCTAAAGAAAAAAGTTCATTAAAGATAGAATTGCGATATCAAAATTTTTATCATTAAAACTTGCTGGACACACACACACACACACACACACACACACACACACAAATTCTGATCATTTTCCTTACAACTTCGGATGTATACAAAAATTTGTATGGATTAGTAAAATTGATCAGAACAGTTACTAAATAATTATATTATATCTAATTATTCATTCACACTTTGAGCAAAAAGCAATTTAAATTGGAAAATAAATATAAAATGTTTTTATTTAAAATAAAGTTTGATTAACGGTTTTGAATGTTTCTACTTAGTGTTCTTATTAGTATTTTTAAAATAAATAAATACATAAATATAAAATATAAAAAATTCACATTAGTAATAATTTATTTTTACTTTGCAATTACACATAATAAATTAATTTAAAAAAATCACATTTTGATATTAGTTGAGACCACGTAGTCATTATAAATCGAGATTAATATAAAGTAGCGCGGGAGAGGTCAAAGCAAAATATAGGGTGTCCGATAAGTTTTGACAAAACGCTCGTGTGTAGATAGACCGGAATAAACTAAGTCGAAAAGTCTTGTACCATTCTGCAATTTTCGCAATAGTTAACAAGATATTAATTACTAAAAATTACTAAATATTAGTTTTCACTAATTTTTTACTCGAATACTATTAATTTTACAGAAAAACAGCGAGAGACAAAAATTGTTTAGTTTCTTCTCATAAAGTTCTGAGAATTTTTTCAGAATTTTTTAATATCGTATTTTCTCATGTTAGTAAAAACAGTTGCCAATAAGAAGAAAATACAGTACTAAAAGTTGATAAAAAATTCTGAAAAAATTCTTAGAGTTCTGAGAAGAAAATTAACCATTTTTCTGTTGCAGTTTTTCTGTAAAATTGATAGTATTTGAGAAAAACATTATTGAAGACCAGTATTCGGCAATTTTTAGTAATTATTATCTTATTAACTATCACGAAAATTGCAAGATGGTAGAGGACTTTTCGACTTAGTTTAGTTCGCTTTATCTACACGAATGTTTTGTCAAAACTTACCAGACATCCTGTACATAGAAAATTTTTGAACGCTTATAATTATCCCGGACACTTTCAAAAAATCTCCCCAGACATTCCCGAACACTCTAACAATAAAACAAGAGGCTTTGTCCAGGGAAGACAGATAACAACTCTAGCTATAAGTCAATTCGCTTCAGTTATGGAGACAATTTTAGATAATTTTAATATTGTAATAGGTGAAAAATGTCAGATATTTATAACTTATTAAATTTTATAAATTTATTATTTGATTATCTACGACTATTTTTTATATATATTTGACCACTCTGTTATCTCTGAGTCTGATATTTTTGACTAATTTTTGATAATCATATTGAGATGTTCGAATGTATGGTGAGTGTTCATAAAAGTTTTATCTAACATACAGTTTTTCTCGCATATATCATATATTATTCTCGCATATATATATTAATAGTTTTTTTGGCAATATATGCAATATCTAGAAATTTCAAGCTTTCGATTTGTAAATCGTTGAGAAATAAATTTTGGTTCTTGACACCCATCGAGCATTCAAAAATTTATCAAGAACTATTGTGAATTAACGAATATATATGGATATCTTGAAGAATAATTATGGATTATCTGAAGATGGCTTAATAATAATCTGAAACATGTAATGGTTTTATAAACTTTAATTAAATTTCTTTGTATTTATGTGATATATTTATATTCAAGTATTTATTTGACTCTTATATGTCCTTTTTAATGTCGATTTAGTTTTTTAATATTTAAGAGTCCTGTCTATTTTTCATTTTTCATTATTATTTATTATTTTATTAGGTGCACAGAAAAAAAACTATTCTTAAATCAACCATAATATATTTATATATAAGCAAAAATATTTTAATATTGCTTCAAAGATATCAATCTTGATTTGATTAAGTTTGTTTTGATGCAAGTATTACTTTGCGCTTAATTCAAGATTTGCTCAATTAAAAATCTCATATCAATACAAATAAATCTTATATCAAGACTAAAATTTTTAAAGCAAGATTACAATATTTTTGCTTATATATGAATATATTATGGTTGATTTAAGAATAGTCTTTTTTTCTGTGTGAATATTATTTTCCCTTAATATTATTTTGAAATTTCCCCTTTTTGCTTACAAATAGGCTGCTGCTTGTTATATTCACAGATTATCTAAAAGTTATAAATGTTTAATATTTTTCTCTCCTGTAACAATATTCATAAAATTATCTATATTTCGATAACTGACCTAGTGTATATGAACTTTTTTATTTAAAATGACTTTTAGAATATATTGTAGAAGTTTACAGGTTTCTTCACGGAACATTTTGTAATATATAAAAAAAATATATTTATTTTTTTTATATATTACATATGACAAAAACAGTTAATATAACTTCATAAATTGTATATATTGTTAATACAATAATAATGATTAAAATTAACTCCGTTTATTTAAAGACACAATACCCAATACAACATAATAAATCAATTACAAGAGATTTGTCATTTATCATAGTACAATGATTCCTTTTTTTCCTTATTAGCATGATTTATGATTTAGTAACAAAAGCATAATTTATAGTGTCAATTTCCTTGACCCCATTTTTTTCAAATTTTATGCGATTTCTCTTGATACTTAGGAAATACATCGAATAGCATTACGTCATAATAATTTTTATAAAATCATGAAAAATGTTTCATATAAGATCAATACAATTGCATATCACATTGCGTTTTCACTGATTATGCGAGTCTCTTACATATTTTAAGATAAATAAACTATTAGACTAATTAGAAAATGCAAATATACTTAGTCAGTTGGTATCTATTATGAAAAATGTATAACTTTTGTTTGAATTGCAGGATGCGATCTTGAACATTCGAGAGTCGCGATACGGGCCATGGCGAGATTTCATGCGCTAGGGATGGCTACAAAGTACAAGCGACCGGACTATTTCGAAATATTAAAGCAACGCAGTAAAAGCTTGGAGTTTAATACTGACGAGTTTGAGCACTTCCAAGAAGATATGCTGAAGAGGATAGCAGGGATCTCAGAATTATCTGTTTACGTCGATCGATGCGAAGCTGCCATTCGCGACTCGTTCAAATATGGCTTGTTTACAGTGACGCCCGATGAACCGTGGTCCACTATTATCCACGCGGACTTTTGGGTGAACAACATCATGTTCCATCGCGATGAAAACGGTCACGTAGACAATATTAAATTCGTGGATTTTCAGAATTATCTATTTTTCAGTCCATTGCGCGAGATGGTCTTTTTCCTGTTCTCTAGCACAGAGCTTTCGTGCGATGATCATATCGAAGAACTGATAGATCTCTACCACGAGACATTTTTAGCTGTGCTGAACCGAATGGGCTGTGATATAGAGCCATTTACCAGAGAGAAATTCGATGCTAAGTTGTTCACCGATGCCAGGCTTGAGTCTATGCATTTGTTCTTCATGCTTAAGATACTCACACTAGACGTGCAGGAGACCGAATTGAAGCACGAGAATATGAAAGACGTCATGATGACCTACCAAGGGAACCAATTGTTCGTTCAACGATTGCGAAAGGTCGTGTTATATTTTATTAAACACGACTGGATGTAGGCAATATACAATAGGAAAAAAAAATAGAAAATGTCCTGAAATATCAAGTTACATATAAATACATTTATGATTGCGTGATAATGCAACGCAAATGATTGCGCTACATATGTAACTACATTACACATTGTTTTGTTTCATCCTTTGCAAATCGTTAAACAATAAAAGGACGAGGCAAGTTATAGAAGAAAATGGATGTGTATATATAATTTAGCAAAATTAACAAATATATGTATAAAATATATATTTTACAACACTTCATTAAGTTTTCTTTATTTTACAAATATTTGAGTAAAATGTAATTTATTTTAAAATAGATTTATTTTCTCTTGACCTTGGGTACTTTCCTATTTTTATTCCTGTTCTTCACATTTGTGACTTCGTAGAAATTGCTTCCGATCTTTTTTCTTTTACTAGCGCGTTCTATAGCTCTTCGCTGTTTGCTTGTTAATCCTTTTGTTTTTTTACGAGACATTGATGAGATACTTTGCATATCATTACTTGAAACTGTTTTAGAAGGAAGCATTTCAGTATCGCTGGAATCATATTCATTGTCTATGACATCGAATACACTCTGTTTCAGATTATCTTGTGCGATAGGCAAGAATTCTGAATCTGAATACTCATTGCTTTGATTCATATCATAATATGAATCAAATTTTTTATCTGCGTTATCATTGAGAACGTTATCATTATTCGAAGAATCGTTCACACTGTCTCGATCATCTAAATTTTCTATTACTTGTAAATCAGATTTATCTTCTACGGTACATGAGTCATTTTTTGTATTCGCATCTTCTGATTCCAAGTTTTCCAATTCCGATTCACTTTCCACACTGCTATCATCCTCTACGATACTTTCACTGAAAGATTTATTCTGCTCTAGAGTCTTGACATCGTCATCAGAATAAGGCAATCCAACGCGTATTTTTCTAAAATCTTGTGTCACTGTCAGCTGATTCTTTATTATCTCTTTTGAAAGTAGATTAATTTCTCGTGCTTCTTTATTATCGCTGATTTTTAACACATTATCTTGTGTGATAACAGTTTCATTGGTATTAGCTGTTTGATTTGATAAAGGTTCCTCATAGCCCACAGGTACAACATAAAAAGGCAGTTTACCACGTTGCCAGTCATTGAGTATCATACGTGCAGCAATTGCAATGTCAGGTTCTCCTTTCTTTAAAAGCTTGCCGCTTCGACGCGCCAATTTTTCCAAAAAATCAACATGATCTATCCATACGTTTATTTTGTATGTCTTACGAATGTACTCAGGTTTCACTCTTTCTAAGACAGAGATGATGTAATCTTCTGGATTCTGAACGAGTTCTACTCTCACTACTCCCTTCAATACCTTCTCGGTGTCGGTTTCCGTCGATGGATAAACGACACCGGGACAATCTATCAAATAAATACGGCGCATAAGAGTTATGTACTGCCACACTTTTGTTTCTCCAGCTATAGGCGCCACTTTACAGACCTTTTTGGAACGCAAGGTGTTTATGATGGAACTCTTTCCTGTATTAGGATACCCTATGAAACCAACACTGATCTGTTTTTTATCAACGTGTAATTTTGCAAATTGCCTTAGTAGATTTATCAGAGAACCTTTGCCAAAAGGATGTGTTAAGGAGGCGTGAAAAGCAACCGTTGGATATTCTTTGCTCAGAATGGCAACCCATCTTTGCGTGACCCACGTTGGCACTAGATCTACTTTATTTAAGATAAATATTAAATGTTTGTAAGGTTTCTCGGTTTTCAGATATTTTTCCACAGGTGGAGACCTAGTTCCCATCGGATCCCTCGCATCCAATATCTGTAAAATAACATCGGAGGAGTCAATGACTTTGTACAACTCGTTCCATATTCTTTTGCTTTGTCCTGCCGACATGATCCAATCTCTTTGTGCATCCTTTACGCCAGTGTCCTCACGGACAAGGTCGTAGTCTTTGGAGTCTTTCTCCTTGTTATAAGTATCTTCCCTGTCCTCAGCCAATTTCTTCAATTCATTGTACGACGTTGCTGCCAAATTCGGTCTTTTTCTAATCTTCTTTGGACCAAAAACATTTTCAAAACTTTCTGTATCCAATAAATGTACTCTTGCGTTTGCCGCCTTTTGCTGAAGCAAAGTTATAGGCAATTGAGTAGGTTTCATGACAACTTTATAAGGATCTTTCATGGCAGTTCCTAATTCATTCTGGAATTTTTGCAAAGCATTCTGTGAGATGACTCGTGAATTACCAAACCATCTTTGGGATGGCTCCACACGCGATGTAGTTCCAGAAGTGTTCCAGCCTTGAAACGGCGCAGGGCTAATGATCTTTCCAGCACGATTGCGTTTCGGTCTCTGATTACGATACATCTGTAATCTTTTAATAGTTGCTTTCGTTCGTACTTTAGCAACTCCTTTCAATCCTTCTGTAGGACGTTCAGGATTCATACTGTGTCCTGAACGCTTAAAGCCCTGCTTTCGCGGGGCTTTATTAGTGGTATGTGCTTTAGCCATTATGTCTGTAACAAATGTATCGCTTAATCTTAATATATAAAATATACAACATATTAAAAAATATTTTTTCAAAACTTAGTCTTTTTTAACATTATGAATAAATTGAAAAAGGCATTATAAGTTACATATCAAGATAGTAAAATCAAATGTATAAAAATAACTTGATTCTAATTAAATAAATATTAAATATTATATATTATATTAATCGAATATAATATGTTAATATATTACTACATTAAATACATTAAATAAATTTAATCAGTTTTAATATTTCGCATAAAAGTGGTTTTAAATTCGATAAAAGCAATGTATATTTCTATGTTTTCTATATTTACATAGTTTATATTTATATATTTGTTAGTTTTTATTATAAAATGAACTACAATTGACAACGTACCAAAATTGTTGTTATACGCCAAACGTAATTAATCAAAACGTTGATAAAATACAACTTGCAACATAAATATGATATAAATAAATTCAGCGTGATTCAATGTGCAGCCTATAATAGGTTAAGTTACAATCCCACCTATTGAATATTGATTTCTGATTTCTGCATCTGCACATATGTGCACAGAACACTTGCTGCGCGGCGCCAGTAGCCAATAGGTGCATCCAGAAGCACGACCGCTCATTGAGCTCTTGTATCTGTTTGGTCTATATTTTTCGATCTAATGGAATATGCCAATCAGACGCAAGAGCTCATCGAGCGCTCAGTGAGCGGTCGTGCTTCTGGATGCACCCAATCATTCTTTCGCTTTTATGAAAAAGCGATAAACTGATTGGCTATCGCTAATCTCCATCGTGCCGTAAGTTGCATTCTATGTGCAGAAGCCATCAAGGCCCGTCTACAATACACGGAGTAAGAAGTAAGAGTAAGAAATTGACCAATCACAGTCGATTATTATCACATTCGACTGTGATTGGTCAATTTCTTACTCTTACTTCTTACTCCGTGTATTGTAGACGGGCCTTTAGGATCGTTCGATGTACTATCGATAGCTCGCTTTTTTTTGTATTATCGCACGTCAGTATAAGCAATTTCACGATCAACGGTACCAACTGTGGCAACTGCGAAGGAGGTTTTTGTTGCATGAAATAAAGATATGATCGTTTCATTCGCGGAGTTATACATATATAATATATATACACATTATATACACATATTATTTGTGTGTGTTGTGTGTGTGATAACCAGATCGCTGTAGATCGTCATAAATATGTGTAGTGTCAAACTAACCATGCTAAGACGTATTAGCTCTTGTTAACTACCGTAAGAATTTAGATTCGCCGACACGACCGAAAGATGGTCTCGATTATCAAAAATCAGCTACTGAAACATCTGTCGAGGTACTGTCCGTGCAAACACGATCGATTAACCTACAACACGGTTGCAAGTGACACGCCAAAAAAAAAATCGTCCTGTTCAAGTCACACGTCACGTAACGCACTCCTTATTATTCCTTATTGTCGAGACATACTTCTTGTCATTGCGATACAGCTGTTGCATCTTCCTTTCCTATGTGTTCTGCATAATTGTAACATTCGTAGAGCAGCTTCGAAAATAACAAATGAAAATGTTCTCCTATTGTAATTGACATACTTATCATCATATGCTACTGATTTTTTCTACTTTTTCTTATCAGTAAAAGTTTTGCACATTTAAGTTAGCAATAGTTGTATAACCTTGTGCATAAAAATTTACACCTATGCTAATTATACCTATGTGTGCTAATTATATTTATCTATTATGAAGTATACAAATTAAATAATTTTTCTATAATTTGTATGTACATACATATAATGGATATTATTTATTTAACTTATGATTTTTATAACTACTGCCAAATAATATATTTTGCATGTTGAGCTTTTATATTGTGTATTATAGGTTTACTAAAAATTTATCTGCTGATAAGATAAATTTGAGTACATTCAAAGGTGAAGGAGAACTGTCAAATTTAGAACTTGATGAAACAGTCCTCACGGATCTACTAGAGCTGCCATCGTGGTTAAGACTAACTAATGCTTGGTGCAATAAAGTTTCATTTCGCATACAATGGACCAAACTAAAAAGTGTTCCTATCTTTTTGGTAAATGATAGTTATTGATTATAAATATATGATATAACTATACTAAACTGTAAACAATATAATTAAAATATTATATTTGCAGAGTTTGGATGAGGTACATATAGATGTAGAAACATGTGAAGATCTAAGAAGCATGTCTTCCCCGCAGGGTATATCATCATATGCTGGTTCTGCAAAATATTCTTTTATACATAAAGTAATTGATGGAATAACAGTAGCTGTCAATACTGTACTGGTTACATTTAAAAGCCCTGCGTTTATTGCCTCAGTCCAGGTATATTATTATACAGTGTACAACATAGAGGATAGTAAATTGAAGATTTTGAATAGATGATTATTTATTATAACATTTATTAAGCATAATTTTGTATTATTTAGATGAACCGGATTATGGTAGAATCCAAGTCAGCAACATGGCAGCGTTGTGATCTCAGAACTACTAGAGTGAAGGATCCTGATCGAGGGCAGTTACTTATCTTTAAAGAGTTAGAATGGCAGACTGTTAGAATAGAAGCTCAAAGTACTAAGGATCACAATTTGACACCACTTCGTTTACTTACAAACCAAGCAAGATGTCGAATTACAATAAAGAAAAGAATATCAGGTCTGTGAAAGTTGATGTAAATATCTTGATAGTGAATACATCATATTCACTATTGCTAAATCATCTATTTTATTACAGATTGTTTCGTTATGGGCTGTAGACTAGTAATTATCTTAGATGATCTTCTATGGGTATTGACAGATTCACAACTGAAAGCTGCGCTTCACTTTCTTGACTCTTTGGGTGGTCTTATTGAGAAAGCTACTAGTCTTGAACGAAAAACAAAAGCTGCAAGAAAGTTAGAGGTTGGCATTTATTTAATTTGTGACTATTTAATTTTTATTTTAATTAATTTTTGTGTACAACTCTAATAATTTATTATTAATTTGTCTATTTTATAATGTAAGGTTTTACCAGAATATCAGGCACAGATATCTCAACAAAGCAGAACAAAGAGTCAATACAATACAGCGATTTCAAAAATATTTACGAGATATGATGTTGTAGAGACATCATATCATTTTCTTTCACAACGCATTGATCTTCACTTATGCGATGATGCTGGTGGTAAGATCAAAAGAGACTTGGATTTGTTTTCACATTTATTAAGATATTATTTACTATTTTATTTATATATTTATTTATTTAACATATTTTAATATATATATATATAATTTAGGATTTTCTGCATTATATACATAGTTTTTACTCTTAACACTATGTTATTAAAATAGGAGGCAGATCATTACATCCTGATCTAAAGGATGGTGGTGCATTACAAATTTCAATAGTTAGATTTCAAATTGATTATTATCCATATCATTTGGCGATGGCGGATAGAAAACATTGGGCCAAATACAGAGAAAATGCTACACCTCATAATCAATGGTTGCAACAATCGTTGAGTTCGTTTCGAAGTCAGTTTATGGATCTCATAGATTCTGGGAGAACACAACATTCTCCTTTAACAAGAAGTCAAGGAAATATAACAGGTTTGTGCATATATATTTGAACAGCCAAATGTTTGAATAATACATAATTGGTATAAGACTTTACATATTATTCGATTTTATTTAAAATAGGAAGCACTATAAAAGGTTCCAAAGAACATTTAGAAAAAAGTAATCAACCACAAAATTCAAATGTCACGCCATCTGAGCAAAAGAAGTCTCAACATCCTAGTGGTAATCCTGTGAAAAATTACGTTTTGGAGCAACTTGCCAAACTGATGACAACGTGCATTATTATCAGGATCGATGATTTTACTTTGTACAAAGTGACGACAACTTCGCGTAATCCAATGCCAAAAGAATTTATCTCAGGTATTGTATATTTAATACTTAGTTATTTGTTTATCAGGCTGTTTATTAAAATAGTCGCATCAAGTTTGACAATAATTATTTTATTTGGTAATTATACAGCTCAAACCAGGAAAAAACATATACCAGGTACAACAAATTAGTAGTTGTTCATTTGAATGTAACATTGCACATAAAGTTTTTAGCTAAATTTAATTTATTTTAACAAGTAGATTTATTTTACTCCTCTTTTTTTTTATTATGTTTAGTTTATATGTATGTTAAAAAATTGAGATTAATCTTTACTTTAATATTCAATGTGCAATGACATGTACCTAAAGGATATTGATATTACATATTACAAAGTTTCTTAGAGATTATATAAGATATATGTTATATCTACAAATGGTATCGCTAAATACTGTTTATTTTTTTTGAAATGACGTATAAAATTATCATTGCATGTGAGTCAAATTGAAATAGTAGCTAGATTAAAATTTTCTTTTCGTATTTTAGTCAACTTGCATTACTCCTATATCTATTTAAATTAAATTTTTATTTAGGCGACCGTGACAGATTTAGTCTTCCAGAAGACGTAACAATACTTCATGCTGAGTTTACTTATTACTATTATCCAGGGGATATTACTTTTCCCTGTAAGCAGATATTTCATATAAATATTTTTATTCTATTCGATAACTTCATTATTAAACAACGTATAATTTTTTAGTGCCACCACCTAAATTTTATGTACAGCTTAATCCCATTCAAGTAAATTTCGATGTCTGCTCATGCCTTTGGTTTAATTCTTTTGCATTAAATCTTTATCATTCTCTTATGGGAAAGGACAAGCTGAGTTCTTCGCGCTTAATGTATTTTGATGTAAAAATAGAGGCTATACTACCAAGAGTAAGTTAGAACATATTAGCATATATTTTTACTACTTATATATCAACCCATTCACGTTTTAGTAATATTAAAATTTGTATTTTTAGATAGTTTTTGAAAGTCAGCAGGATTATCCAAATCAGAAAGACAGACCCAAGTCTTTGCATATTCAAACCTCTAGAGCGTCTATAACAAATGTTCGATCAACAGAAAGATCTTCAAGGGCGGATTTGGCACAGTGTCTGAATGCGTTTCAAATGGGACAAATGTTCTTTGGTGCAGAGTTTCCCAGTAAATCAGGAGATTTTCATGTAGTAACGGATAAATTTTTAGCCCATTGTGCAGGTATGTATTTACGATATTGTCAATATTAGCAACACATTTAGTTTTTCTTTATTAGTTTTCTTTTTCTGTATCTTCTTTTTGTTTTGTATTTTAGGCACTGATAATATTAGGCAAATACCACCCAATTTCAGTAGCAATTCCGTAAATGAGCTGCTTCGTCAGTTGAACAGAGAACTTTTATGGACAGAGGCGAAAGATGTATGGTGCTGCAACTTGGAACCTGTTTGGGGAGATTTTTTCGGAGCACGGGCCGTTGGCCAAAATCGGCCCGTACCGTTTCTAGATGCGTTTCCTCTAACACTCTGGTGTTACTTCACTACAGACTCATTAACCACGGAGAAGCTGTCGCCCGCCGATATTCACGGGCTGGCATATATAAGCAA